TTATTATTTCTTCCCTTCTGTTTTTCTCAGTAATTTTTCTAATTAATACTGACTTTTTTGTACATTATATAAACGTCTTCCTTTCTGATCGTCATTCCATCTTGTTTGCCATTTTTCTACTTCTTTACTTTTAATAAGTGATTTCCCTTCCGGGCAGCACGGTGACGCAACTGGTAGAGCTGCTGCTTCTCAGCGAGCAGGCCCTGGTTCAAACCCCGGTCCAGGGGCCTTTCTGGGTGGAGTTTGCATGTTCTCTCCGTGCATGCGTGGGTTTTCTCCGGGTACTCCGGTTTCCTCCCACAGACCAAAAACATGCATGTTAGGCTGATTGGTAACTCTAAATTGTCCCTAGGTGTGAGTGAGAGAGTGAATGGTTGTTTGTCTCTATGTGGCCCTGCGATGGACTTGCGACCCGTCCAGGGTGTACCCCGCCCCTCGCACAGTGATTGCTGGACATGGGCACCAGCGACCCCCGTGACCCAAAATGGAACAAACGGGTAAAGATAATGGATGGATGGATGGATTTCCCTTCCCCTTTCCCAAAAGGGATTGTAATTGTTATTGCCCCCTCTAGCGCCCTTTTTGCTAGTTTATCTGCCTTTTCATTGCCCTTTACACCTTCGTGTGCTGGTACCCAACAGAACCAAACATCAATGCCACCCCTGTATAGTCTAAATAAACAGTGTTGAATTTCTAATACTAACTCTTTCCTATTATTTCCTTCTCCCTGAATCCTTTCTATAACTGCTTTGGAATCAGTGCACACCACCACCCTGTCTGGTCTAACCTCCTCTACCCATTGTAAGCTCAGCATAACTGCTACCATTTCTGCTGTAAAGACAGATAGTTGATCTGATAATCTTTTAGAAATGTACATTTTAAATTCTTGTATATACATTCCTATTCCCACACATCCTTTTAAATTCTTAGAACCATCTGAATATATTTTAAGGTAGTTAGAATATGAGTTTCTTAAATATATGTCTGTCTTTACCCCTATTTCATTTAAATTCCAGTCATTTTTCATTTTAAGAAGTTTCATGTCTACATTTACCTCAGGAAATAGCCATGGAGGAATAACACTAATCGGATTAAACTGTGCTATTTCCTTATCTTCTAATCCATACATTTTAATCAACTTGTTTACAGTCCATCCAAATCCATTACTCTGGAATGTTGAGTATTCCCAACAGTTTTGTAAAATTGTTGTAGTTACATTATCTTCCTTACAACTTTTAATTTTCATCCAATATAATAGAGCTATTTTTATTCTTCTCATTTCCAGTGGGGTAGCCGCTCAGGACAAATTACTAATGCGTTTCTAAATGTCTGCCAAGCTCCAGCCAGTAAAAGCAAATTAAACTGTGATTAAAATTCATTGTGAAAGACCAACTTTATCATCTTTGAATGATTCCTAAAAAATAGAAGACAACTTTAAAAAGCTGTTCAAAATACAACTTTGTAAATAATTGATTTAAAACTTTAAAATAAGTGTTATCATAAATGGATAAATGGTCTGCTTGTTAATACACTTAATATCATCATGCTCATTTACTGTATATCAGGTCAGTCAGTTATCAATAAATGTTTATTTCAACCAAAGATATTTTGGTTCATAAGTCTCTGCCACTGGTAACCCACAGGTCAAACTCTAAAAGGGTTGAATATCAATGCAGTAAATGATAATTTGAAGGAACTCTAGTGTACTTTTCCTATCAACTTGTACATGTTTTTCCTTTTTAAAGACATAGTAAACAGTATCAATAAAAGCTAATAATGGTTTATAATATTCAGCATATCATTACTCAGGGCTGTGGCTTGTGTAAAATTAGCTTAATTCTTTTTCTTTCGGCTGTTGTCTGCTCAGTGGTCTCCACAGCAATTCATCCTGAGGCCTTTCTAACACGTCATTTTCATTAAAGTTGCTACCCCCACTTCTACTCGACTCTCCTCTCCCAGCACATTTTTCTCCTCATGGTCTTCATAGCGTTATTCTGATTAAATTATCAACTTCATTACGAGCTTTTTGAAACAACAGGTTTAATATATCAATTGTTTACTTAACAAAGTAAATTGAAGCTTACATTTACAAATGACAAATACTGTCTTGTAATCGAAAACTTCTTTATTCTCATGGAATTTATATTCTTAAAATTGAAAGTCTTCTTATTCATGTAATGTCACACAATCATTTAATTTATGCAAAAATGAAAAGAAAGAAGCATTGTGCAATTAGTATTTTTTAATAACCATTCATGTGATAGGATCAAAATGACACGATAACAAACAAAACAAACACGATAAAGCTGAATGTGTATTTTCAGGAAGTGGTTGTGTCGCACCTGGTTAACGGTGGTGAAGTTTAATAGAAGTTCGATTGCTTCTAGAATGGAAGTCTGTCAGTATGACACCAACTTAGAACAAAAAAAGACCTATTAATTTAAAACTATTAAGTTTCCTCAGTTATCCCAAAGTTTTACATTTTTGAGTCTTCAAGCACACCAGAGTGTTGGGAGGATTTAACCAACAGCAGAGCCTCAAACCCAGGAGGTGTGGTCTTTGTTCTGCTCATGGAACCGTGGTCCAGGTTGTTACCTCTGCTCTCGTTAAAGGAGGTGTGGGAGTTTGACTCTAGTCTAAGTGTTTTGTGGACCTGGAGAAGGTTCATGTCCCCTGCTGGGGCTGCTTGTATGTGATATCCAGTCCCTGAAATCAAGAGCTGTCTCTGCATCCTTGCACAAAGTTGAGCTCGCTCTTAGTGCCAGGGCTGTCCCTGGTCCCAGATGCTATGTAGTTTATGGACAGAATCTCAAGGCACAGCTGTGGAGAGGAGGGTGTCCGCTTTAGAAACTTCAGGATCTCGTCTCTTCTTGCATGCAGATGATGTGGTTCTTGAGGAGTCTTCAGGTCATGACCTTGCAGTATGTGGAAGTGTTGTTCATGGGTGATAGTTGGACGGAGCAGATGGATTGGGGCCTTGTATGCAGTCATGAGAGCTCGCATCACTTTGTTGATGTGCAGAAGGACGTGTGAAAAGAGGCAAAGCTCTCAATACACTGATCTAAGTTCCAACCCTCACTTATGACTGGACAGGCTGGTGAGAAAAGCTGTCTCTGTGCTGGGAACAGAGCTGGAGTCCCTTACATCGGTGGCAGAGAAAAGGGCCCTCAGTAAGCTGCATCCTCTGCACGGCACCATCATGAAGCAGAGCTCCTTCAGTGGTAGACTGCTGTCCCAGTCCTGCTCCAAGGACAGATCCAGGAAGTCTTTTGTCCCTCAGTCCATCACTGTTCAACTCCTCCATGTACAGTAAAAATAGAGCCTTGTAAATCTGCAGCACTCCGGACACTTATGTGTTTGTATGTATGTATATTTATATGTACATATGCATATGTATATATATGAATATGTATATACATATATATGTATGTATGTATATGGTACATATATATAGGTTAATCGTGAATGTAGTATTCCCTACCACCTTGTGCATGTGCATATTGTTTTATTCCAAATTTGTGTATTCTGTTTCTTTTTTGAATATTTCTTTTTTTTTTCTGTATAATTAGAAAATGCTATTGGGTGCCTGAAATTTCCGCCCTGGGATTAATAAAGTATCTATCTATGGTCAATAGATGAGGATTACTGAAAGATCGACTTCTGTAGACACTAGAGGCTGAAATGAGCTTCTACTAGCATTAGCTCAACCTTAGGAGCTTTCTCATTCTGGGGAAGCTTGGAGTTGAGCTGCTCCCCCACGTCAAGTCATCCGAGGTTCAGGAATATGATTGGACACCTCCTTCTGGAGGTTATTCAGGATGGAAACCCCTTGGAAGACCCAGAACCCAGAGATTACACATCCGCTCTGGCCTGGGAAGTCAGAAAGTGTCACTGGGGAGAGGGTTGTAGAGTTCCTCTCTGCTGCCTCTGCATCCTGACGGTGGACATTAACTTGCTAAGACAAGCTGATTAGAAACTGTTTTAACCGTTTATGTAACAAATCACTAACCCAACACAGCCCACACTCATTTTGTTAATTACATACAAATTTGTGAAGAATTTCCACAATGAATCAATATTTACACACATTCAGGGAACCCTGAGCTGCTCGTCACTGAACACACAGCTCTATATTTCCACGTCACTCAGAGTATTTTGTGAGCTTTGCATATTACAAATGTAAACTAAAGTTTGCTTTGTGGGTTGAACAGTTCCTTCAGAGCGTCCAGGTTCTCCCCCTCAGGAGCTTCAGGCCATGCTGTGTGATCTGGACACAAACACACACACACACACACACACACACACACACACACACACACACACACACACACACACACACACACAGTAATATCACTGTAAAGTAGATGAATCATGAAAAGACCGAGGTCCAGCCGGGTCAGAAAGCTGCACGAACCAGGTATCTCCCACGGAGTGTGGTACAGACTTTGTCCTGCATCAACCTTCAGCGTTGCACCAGAGATGTAGGAGGCACCAGGAGAGAGCAGGAAGCACACGGCTGAGGATATCTGTTAAAAAAAAGTTTTAGTTTTATTACACGACTTGAGTTGTCAAACATTTGTTGATCTGTTGAGTTTTATTAAATTGTGGAGTTGATTTAAAGTCAATAATCTGAACTATATCCACTTTCTTTCACCTGCATATCTCATGCTGCTGGATTCATTCATATCCATCTGCTCACCACAGACTCATGTTCATGCTGCTGTTGATACGTCATGTTGTTTTACATTATTAGTGTTTAGTTCATATCTTAGATCCTTATATACTGTTTCTTTTTACACTTTATATTTTGCTATTGTTCGATGGAACTGGGACCGTGTGTACAGAAACATCTTATCTAAAAATGATGCAGAAAAACTGGTCCATGCATTTGTCACATCTAGACTGGACTATTGCAATGGTTTATTATCTGGGTGTTCACCAACTTCTTTAAAACATCTTCATTTAATCCAAAATGCTGCTGCCAGAGTCTTAACGGGAGTTAGTAGGAGAGATCATATCTCTCCAGTTTTAGTTTCTCTCCATTGGCTCCCAGTCAAATCCAGAATATAATTCAAAATCTTACTTCTAACCTACAAAGCTCTCAACAACCTGGCTCCATCTTATATTACAGATCTTATTGTTCCATATTTTCCTAACAGAGCACTTCACTCTCAGACTGCAGGTTTACTTGTGGTTCCTAGAGTTTCCAAAAGCAGAATGGGAGGAAGATCTTTTAGTTATCAGGCTCCTCTCTTGTGGAACCAACTTCCAGTTTCTGTCCATGAGGCTGACACATTGTCCAGTTTTAAGACTGGACTTAAGACTTTCCTTTTTGCTAAATCCTATAGTTAGGGTCGGCTTGGGTTTCCTGAGCTGTCCCTTAGTTATGCTGCTATAGGCTTAGACTGCTGGAGGACAAACACCACATTTCTTCAAATGAATACTTTGTGATTGTAATTATTTCCATCTTAACATGTTTTTTGTCTTTCCTCCTATAGAAAGTTCATCTGGACCTGCCATTCTGTGTTCGTCTGTCTCTCCTTCCTGTCCTCTCAAACCAGCCGGTTGAAGCAGATGGCTGCTTGTCCTGAGCCTGGTTCTGCTGCAGGTTTCTGACTGTTAAAATGGAGTTTTTCCTTTCCACTGTCTCCTTTGTGCTTGCTCAGGATGGGAGACTGTGATGAAGACTCAACACAATCTGCTGCTTCTTTATATTTACTTTACTAATTGTCTTTTATAATGTACATGACTGTTTCTGTTCAGTGCCCAGAGACAACAACTGCTGTGACTTGGAGCTATAGAAATAAAGTGAATTGAATTTTACACTTTGGTTAAACCTCTTCATGGTTTATTTACTTTAGCAGTGTCGTTAAAAATGAACAGCATCTACTCATCCTTCAAAGGTTCTGTTTAAACGTTCTGTTCAAAAACAATGAAACTCATAACACAGATGCAGTCTACAGTGTGTATACGTATGCATTAAAAAATATTTGAATATGCATGTCATTAACCAGTACCTCTTCTGGTACTCCCAGTCTCTTTGCAGGACTAAATGGAGCGGACATCTTGAAAATATGGGGTCCCATCTCTTTATAGTTCTCCATTGCAGTTCTGGAGAATATTGTCCCCTGAAACCAAACCAGCGTACTCTTCAGAAATGAACGCGTTATTTGAAAGCTTCCAATCGGATCATGACCTGTACATACAGGTGCGACAGCGTTGATCCTGACTCCTGAGGACGCCCACTCAATGGCCAGACTCTTGGTGAGGTTATCCACCGCTGCCCTCGCTGCTCCGGTGTGACTGTCAATCAGCGGAAACACACAAATGTTGTAAAAAGTGTGCAGCGTGGTCGATACAGTTGCTGTCAGAAGTTTGCATACACCCATTATGTCACGGCAACTTAAAGCTTTAAATAATTGATTGAAACTGTTCTTTCTCCAGGGTGAACCAGACACACAACTATGACTTTTATAAACAAGAACCGGACAAACAGGTTGAATTGAACAAACATCAGCCAAAGCTTTTAACAAGTGGTGCTGAAGAAGAAGAGCGTTTAACTTAGACCAAAGCTCATTAACTTCTTGTTACTGAAGACAACTGGCTGCAGCTGAAAGTTTCTCTTTGGCAGCAGAAAAGATTTGTCTTGAAAGTTCTACGGTAATTGGACTTATTTCTTCTTCTTTCGGCTGCTCACTTCTGCAAGGGTCACACAACGAGCGAAGGCCCGGCAATTGTTTTTACACCGGATGTCCCTCCCGGGGGAGAGGATGATGGGGGTTAAGTGCCTTGCTCAAGGGCCCAGAGTGAGGCCAATGAGGGATGAGGCTGGTGTGGGTGCTAGGGGTTGAATCAACTCATAGACCAGTGGATTCTAGGACATCTCGCTAGTTTTTAACTTTCACATCGACTAGTCACAGTCACCACCACCCCACCAAAACAGCGGGGCGGGTGGCGGTTAGAGCTGTCATTAACCTGGGCCCACGCCTGGCCAGTTTGGGCCCGATTCGGGCCTGACCGGGGCCCAAACTTTGGGCCGGGCCAAAATAATGTGCTGAACGACCGGGTTGGTGTCGGGCTTTTCAT